CCCTCCCCTCGCGCGCTGCAGACCCGGGCAGTGCGCCCTCCCCTCGCGCGCTGCAGACCCGGGCAGTGCGCCCTCCCCTCGCGCGCTGCAGACCCTGAGAATGTCTTAGGAGTGTTAGTGCTTGCTGGGTTGTGGCCAAACTGTCGTGGCCCACGTGCAAGTGTGTCCAGTATCCTGCCTGGGTGTGTACCCAGCTTTCTGACTCTGTTGTCCACAGCTTTCACTGTCCAGCACCCTGTGTGTTTTTATCCTGCTGGAGGACAGGTTCCCATCTTGCCTGTGCTGTGGTGTGGCTCCCGGTTTGGTTTTGGCTGATGTTTTGCGCTCGGTGCCCGAGAGCCAGTGAGATGGGAGGAGCTAGATCAGGCTTGTGCAGGCAGAAGCACACTAATGGGTTCTAGAGCATTGTGCAACAGCAATTTGCTTCCTTTCCGCATTTCCTCACACTGAGCCATGACATTGACATGAGCTGGGATCGACAAGGAGCCAAGCAGCGGGGGTCTTTCTGAAACAGGGACAGCGGACAGGAAGAAGGTGTTTTTATGGGTGGCTGTTTGTACAGTTTTGTCCGTGTGGTTAACTACCCTGCTTCTGTTCTTGCTCAGGCTGACTAAATAAATGCAGTCGTTCTAAAATAATTTCTTTCTCCCACTTTTGTGTGGAGCTGTTATCGCCCACATCTCCCTCTCCCGTTTAAATCGAGCTTCCTTCCTCTTACATAAGATGCGTTTTAGTCCCCTTGTGTAGCTTATGTAAAAGAAGCCCCTTAATCACACAGGAGCCTGATCTGATCGGTCTGCTGTCCCACTCCTTGCTTCTGTAGTTCAGGAAAGGCAATAGTTTCAGTAATGAATTTCTGGTTGATCAGTCCTGGTGCACAACTGCAGCACACCTCTCACAAAACTGCCCTCGCTTACGTAAGTCTCCCTGATGCTGACAGGTAGTGGCTCTCTTTTTCCTGAAGAGGGCACTGTCTCCTCTGCCAGCATCGCTCCAGAGTGGTGAAAGCACAGAAAGCATTCTTAGCAGTGCGCTCTCGGGAGGCGTGCAATTATGCAACCGATGCTGATGTTTGTTTGTTTAAAAAGGCATTGCCTCACGCTGGAAGTAAAAGAAAGCCAGCATAGCTGAAGCCCTTGACCCACCATGTCACCGGAGGCTGGGCTCCTGCTTTGTTGCTCCGAGCCTCGTTGGGGTAAAATCAGGGGAGCCCTCTCTGTCTCCAGCGTGGGGAGGGGGTCTGACCACAGCACAGCTTCTCAACATTGTGATTCAGATCAACAAACGCTGTAGTCAGAAATCCTTTTGAAATTTGAAATGTTTTTATTCCACGCGGATGACCACAGTTTGATTCTGATGTGGATCGTTCTGAGAGCAATCAAGGCATTGATCAGTCTTTTTGAATTCAGTCCTTAAATCTGCTGCTGCCTCTTTAATGCTCCGTAATAATAATGGTTTGAAGTCTTACTGCTGGCATGTTCAAACAGCAGGTCAGCTGCCAGAGCAATAGAACGGTTACAAGCAAGAGGAGCAGTTTGGGCCATCTAGTTCATTAGTTCGTTAGTAGCTAATTGATCCCAGGATCTCATCCAGCCATTTCTTGAAAGAAGCCACCTTAACTGCTAAAACAACATTGCCTAGCAGCTTGTTCCCTTCTCCCATTATGCTTCCTGGTCTCGTTTTTTGCTGCCCTTCCACATAGTTTCACTTGGGCCCTGTGGTTCATGTTTCACTGCAAATTCAATAAGTAAAGCACGTTAGATTTCACACATGAAACTTTCACTGTTCATTCTGAAGAAATCTGCTGTTTTGACATTGTTGATGCCTTTGAGGATTTTGATCAGGTCACCTCGTAGTCTTCGGTATTGAAGATTAAAATGGTTCAATTCCTTCAGCCTGTCAGCATAGGACTCCTCTCAGACTAAAAAGACTCAGTTCCTCCAGCCTGTCAGTGTGGGACACTGACACTCCCTTCAGACTAAAGAGACTCAGTTCCTCCGGAATGCATCTGGTTGCTTTTCCCTGGATGGATTCCAGAGAAGCAATATATTTTCTATAACTGTACACAATATACTAAATGAGTCCTTACTTTTGTGCTATACAATTAACATTCTTTGATTTAAGTTCTATGCATTTACCTATATTTCCTAACATTTTACTTGCCTTTTTAATTGCTTTCCTACATTGTCTGTAAGATGTATTATGTGTCAACATAAACACCTAAGCAGGTTACACAACCCTCATTGGAGAGAAACAGCAGCCCAGGTACAGTGTGACCTGTGACGCAGGC